GCTGGCGAAGCGCATCGACTACGGCCAGCTGGAGGGACTTTAACCGGGGCGAAGCGGGACGACGCGTACTACAGGGCGTACATGCGTCGCATCCGCAGCGAGTAGCACTGCAGCACGCGCTGAGACGAGGCGTGTGCGCTTGAAGAGAGGTGGAATAGGGAGAGGGGGGAGGTAAGTAGAAATGGGTTACATGCATGGGAGTGAAAGGCTGCCGCAGCTGCTGGGGCGGCTTCAGGACGTTGGGCTGAGCCCAACTTCCCTTTCGTGTGTGTGTGTGTGTGTGCATGTGGGTCTGTGTGGAACGAAAGCAGCGAGAGAAAAGCCCCTCCAGCAGTTGCGCAGCGCCAAGAAGAAGTGGGGAGGGGGTGGATTTGTGCGTGGGTGGTGATTAACTCCCACTACTTGTGTGGCTGTGGCTGTTGTTTTTTCTATGTATCCGCTGTTCTTTGACCTGCCACTAGGACTAGATCGTGAGTTTGCGCTAGGACTGCGACAGGTTGAATTTGCACCCCCCGTGCTGTACTGGAAGGCCTGCCGCAGAGTCGGGTTTGCAACGGTGTTAGCGGCCTTGCTCGTCGCCTTGCCGCTGCCGTGTGTGTGTGTGGCCCCGCCTTCTCTGACTGGACGCTCCGTGCATGAAAGGAAATCAGTTCTCGGGGAGGAAGCGAGGGGTGGGGGCGACCCCTTCCGCCCCCGCGGAAGCAGCGAAGCCGGAGAAGCCCGAGACCGCCGTCGGGGATGACGCCTCCGTAGAGACGGTGGACTTCCTGAACGCATTTCCAGTGCCCAGGCGTCTGCTCCGCATGGTCGGCATGTGCGTCTTTGGCGCTGTCATGCTGCTGGCAACGTTGCAGGCCTACACCATTCGCTTGCTTTCCATTAAGCTGTACGGCAAGGTGATTCACGAGTTTGACCCCTGGTTCAACTTCCGTGCGTCGCAGTACCTTGACGAGCACGGGTGGTACGCCTTCTTCCACTGGTACGACTACATGAGCTGGTACCCGCTTGGTCGCCCCGTCGGCACGACCATCTACCCCGGGCTGCAGCTCACGAGCGTCGCCATCCGCAGGGGCCTCGCCATGCTGGGGGTGAACATGACAATGAACGACGTGTGCGTTTACATCCCCGCATGGTTCGGGGGAATTTCGACGCTTCTTTGTGCGCTTCTGGCGTATGAGACAGAGCGCTCATTTGCAGGCGCCGCTATCACTGCGTCCCTATTTGCCATCGTCCCCGCCCACCTGATGCGCTCCATGGCGGGCGAATACGACAATGAGTGCATTGCGATGGCGGCGATGCTACTCACGTTCTACCTGTGGGTGCGCTCGCTGCGTGGCCCCGGCTCCTGGCCCATTGGTGTGCTGACGGGGCTGGCGTACGGCTACATGGTGTCCACCTGGGGCGGCTTCATATTTGTCCTCAACATGGTGGCGCTGCACGCCGCCGTGTGCGTGCTTGCCGACTGGCTGCATAACAGGTATGACGGCAACCTGCTGCGGGCGTACTCCCTGTTCTTTGTGGTCGGCACGGCGATCGCGACGCGCGTGCCGCCGGTGGGGTGGACCCCGTTCAGCTCCTTGGAGCAGCTGCTGGCGCTGCTGGTGTTTATTTTCATGTGGGCGCTGCACTTCTCCGAGGTCCTGCGGCGGCGCGCCGACGTGCCGATCGACTCCTCCAGGGCGCTGCAGATCCGCGCGCGCGCGTTTATGGCCACCTGCGCCGCGCTTTTCCTGTTCGCGGCGCTGCTGGCCCCGCAGGGGTACTTCGGTCCCCTCTCCTCCCGCGTCCGCGCCCTCTTTGTGCAGCACACCCGCACCGGCAACCCTCTCGTGGACTCCGTCGCCGAGCACATGCCGACCTCCTCGGCCGCCTTCTGGGCCTACCTGCACATCTGCCAACTGGGGTCGCTGCTCGGCTTTCTCGTCGCCCTCTTTGCCTGCGCCGCGCGCTACCGCCACGGGAGGTCGTTCATTCTGCTCTACTTCCTCGTCGCCTACTACTTCTCCACCAAAATGTCCCGGCTGCTGCTGCTCTCCGGGCCCGTGGCGGCGGTGTTGACAGGCAACTTTCTCGGCGGCATCCTCGACCTCGCCGCCGACTCGCTGTTTTTCCCGCCCGACGACGCGGCGGCCGCGCGGAGTAAACAGCCGAAGCGGCGCCCAAAGGTGCAGAAGGGGCCCGGCGAAGAGGCCGACATTTACGTGATTGCCGCGTGGAAGAAGATGTGTCGCCAGCGACCGATGCTGGCGGTGGGCCTCGTCGGCGCCCTGCTCGTCCTCTGCGGTCACACGTTGTTCGCCTCCGGCTACTACGAGCATTGCCAGGCCTTCGCCACTTCCGTGTCGAGCCCGCAGATTATGATGCGGGTGCAGCTGCAGACGGGGGAGGTTGTCTTGGTGGACGACTACTACGTGTCGTATCTGTGGCTGCGCAACAGCACCCCGGCGGACGCCCGCGTTCTGGCGTGGTGGGACTACGGCTACCAGATCACTGGGATCGGGAACCGCACCAGCCTCGCCGACGGCAACACGTGGAACCACGAGCACATCGCCACCATTGGGAAGCTGCTGGCGTCGCCGGTGGCGGAGGCCCACGCGCTGATACGCCACCTTGCCGACTACGTGCTGATCTGGAGCGGCAGCCAAGGCGATGACTTGAGGAAGTCGCCGCACATGGCACGCATCGGCAACAGCGTGTACCGCGACATCTGCCCCGAGAACGACCCGCTGTGCTCCCACTTCGGCTTCGAGAACTACGACTTTAGCCGCCCCACGCCCATGATGCGGCGGTCGCTGCTGTACAACCTGCACAGCGCCGAGGAGGGCCCCGGTACGGTGCTCGGCAAGAGGTTCAAGCTCGCCTACCGCTCGCGCC